TTCAAAGGGTTGTTGTGAGAAGAAGGAAGAAAAAAATATTTTATTTTCTTGTTGTAATATAACTGACTCTGACATATATACAACTAAAAGTAGAACATATTTCACCTTTGCTTAAGCATCAAAGTGATGGAGGTATCATTACCTAAAATGGCAAAATCTGACAGAAGAGCAGGCTGACATACAGAAGACCAAGGGTTCTATGTTAGCCGCGGTAGGTACAAGATTAAACTAAAGCTTTCTTAAAACCATCACTTAGATACTCATTTATCAAATAAAGTAAAATATACCAAAAAAAAAAAAATGAGCAGCATTGGTTGATGTAAAAATAATTAGGAGACATATAAGTAAAACATTGACTTTTATGCAGGCTAGAGAAAATGTTAAAGTGTTTTTTAAGAAGAGTAGCATGATATTCATCTGTTTATTTCTTCACTTGTTTTTGTTTTATCCATGTTCTTTATGGGTAGTTTAAAAATAACATTTTAGACTGCTACCTATAATTTAGCATTCACAGAATATTAAAGCTGGAAGAGGATTTAGAGGTCATCTAGTTCAAATCCCATATTTTAGAGATGGAAACTGATGCTTTAGGAAAATAAGTGGCTTGATCAAGGTGACATAGATGGTTGATGGAAAGAATAAAGAATGAGATGGCCTTTAAAAACCTAGCAAGTGCTATGCTGTTTAAGATTTCACATGAAGTTTCACTTTGCAGGAAATACACAAATCAAATTCTCGAGGTCAGCTTGAGTTTTTTTTTATTTCTACAAATTTTATAAATAAATATGATATCTATATGTTGTATGGTACAGATTTCTATGTCATAAATTTCACAATTTTTAGTCATTTATAGAAACATTTATAAAGAGTTTAAATATTTATGTAAAAGTTTAAAAATATACACATACAGTTAATTTAAAAGTACAGGTACAAAGGCAGCATTTTTCACTTACTAAATACTTGCGAGAAAATATTTGAGATAAAAGAGGAAAAAAACAAATGTTTAGAGAAGAAAATGTACTGTACTATGATACTCTGCCTCTTCTTGAGGCACTAAAATTATTATGACTTCTAGAAACATCGGAAATGTAGAAACTACAAGAGAATATTTCTAGTAGATAAATATTTTAGCCATGGAACTAATGTCAGTTTGTTTCATTCATGAAGCAAATATTTATCAGGCTCTGGCGATGCACAAGCTCTGTGCTTTCTTTGCACACAGGGAGATTTTAACAGAAAGAACTCAGGACCACGCTGGATGGGAAGAGGGATTGGAATGGCCCCTCAGTTTCCCGAAGCTGAGCACAAATTTCCCATCCCACCAACTTGCAAGGGCTCGAGACTATGAACCTCAGGGAGGGAGGAAAAGGCAACGGAAAAAGAGGTAGAGAAAGGGAAAAAGGAAGTAAAGAAAAAGATAAATAAGCCCCAGATGTGTTTATGCCCACTCTAAAGAGTTGCAGTTATAGTAAAGTTTTTATTTTTTAATGCACTAATATTCTTCATTCACTCCATTTAAAATATTGAACATTCATGGACTCTGAGGCAGAGTAATCATTTAAAATACGTTGGAACAAGACATGATTCAATTAGCTTTATTTTTCAATTATATAATTTACAAGAGAATATAATTAAAAAGAAAATTTCTAACCTTGGCTAATAAGAAGAATTGGTTTTAGTTTTAAAGTTGATAACTAACAAAAAAAATGGAAACGTTCTGTTTCCTTCAGCCTAAGATATGGTTTTGGGAACACATGCTTTTCTTAATGATAATTTTGACTATGAAATTTCAGCACTTGGCATCCTCATTCTGCCACAGGCTGTACAAAACTTATGTGGCTATATAATTCTCTGGAGAAGATACACCCAAACAGGGGTCCCCAACCTCTGGGCCACCAACCAGTACCAGTCCATGGCCTGGTAGGAACCAAGATGTACAGCAGGAGGTAAGTGGTGGGCAAGCGAGCAAAGTTTCATCTGTATTTGCAGCGCCAGCATCACTGCCTCCGCTTCACCTCAGATCATCAGGCATTAGATTCTCTTAGGAGAGCTGGTCCCTGGTGCCAAAAAGGTTGGGGACTGCTGATAAGACACGTAACAGCTGAGTAAATTTAGATGTGTCCACAGAGTGAACACTCACCCTAAAAATAAACTCAGGGTTGGGTGTCATTTTCAAAATAATCGTCCTTTTGTGGCAAGGAATATATGTTAAAACGTATCCTTCTTTAAAAAATTAGTCAATAGGTTTATATTTTCTATAGCTGTTTTCATCCCTTCAGCTAAAAAGAAAAAAAAGAAAAAGAAAAAGAAATTGGTTCTAAATTTCAGACTGTGAAAGTTTTAAGGTGAGAACTTTGACTACCTCAGGCCTTATTCCAGGTGTTCTTTTAGAAGCCTTCCTCATTTTAATCAAGTTACATATCTTGACACGCTGACTGTTACCTAATCATGTGACTCATAAAAGTCATGATTCAATAGAATGATATTTTCCCTATACTGAGTAACTCTGAAGTTTGGTTCTGTTACCACGTTTACTGATCTTCCGGGTAACCTGTTGTGTGTGGAACAGAGGGTACACTTGAAAATCATTTGACTAGCCCCTCCTCCCCTGCTGCTACCAAAAATGGTTTCTTCCTAAGTCACAAATCTACTTGGAATGTTAATTAAATATTTACAAGGTACTTTAAAATCCTCAAATGCTAATATGAAAATGGTAAACTGTGTTCATTTGAATAAGAAGAAATTTTTGCCCTTCCAAATTAAAAGCCTCTGGCCTCTGAGTTTAATTTAAAAAAATATAATAACTTAAGAAAAAAGAATTGAGTATCTACTATGTATAAGGCCTTGTGCCAGATGTGGAGATAAAAGTAAACTTTCCAGGACTAAGAAATTTGTCATAAATTACAAACAACATTTCATATTATTTAATTCACACCAACTCTCTCTGGGCTTAAAAGCTAAATTAGATGCAAAACACTTACCTTTTTAGCATTAAACTTTTACATCGCTCCTTAACATACGACACTGTATCTCGTTACATAAAGATGCAGTATTTTCTACATATTAACATATATTTCCACATTTTATTCATTAGGTTTTTGAAAGTATTTTAGCATGAAATTTCCATTTATTGTATCCAAAAATAAAAATAGCATCAAAGTCTTTTTGAAACTCCCAAAACACAGTTAGGGAATAATGATCATATGCTAAAAAATGTAAAATGCAATTTCTGCTGTGCCCCATTTACTAGAAAATCACTACGAACAATGCATTTTGTACAGTATATTGCTCCAGGGAAACTGGATCAGCACCCAGAATGAATAAAGAACATTGCATTTAAAATCAGCTAATTCTGCTTCAGCACTTTTAAAAACTATTTGTTATGATATTACTTCCTGTCAAGTACATAATGTGATATCTTCCTTAATAAAACTAAACAGTTGCTATAATTTCAGCTTCCTTCATTTTCCACTTTTTAAGCACTAAATATTTAAACCATGCAGACCTGGAAGTCTCAAGCCAGTCATCTGCTTTGAGCATCTCCTTGCCTAAGGTACAGTAACTACTCGTACAGGGGCCTTTTCTGTCACACAGACATACATAATGACAGCTGTTGAGGTCCTTACCTGCCCGCAGGCCAAGCCCATTCCTCTTTCTCCCATGCCATGTGGACACGATAAATTTAACTCCAGGGCATCTGCTCCAGAAGTCTTTAAGACATGAAAAGAAAATGAAGGAAAAGGCAAAGCTTTATTTGTGAACTAATATGCTTTCACCTTTGATATCATAGGTCACATTTGTCGAATCTTAACTGTTCTGTTTTCTGCATCACAGCTATCATGTGAGGTATATTCTGACTCTTCAAAATTAGAGTATGTATAACAAAAATAATAACAACAACAGCAAATATTTATGGAGTGCTTATAAGAGGGCATTCACTGCTTTATGTGCTTTATATTTGTTATTTCAAATTCTCATAATCCTTGGATTATTAGGGTACCGATATTACACACAAGAAAACAGAAGCACAGGGGATTAAATGACAAGCCTAGTTGTTGAATGACACAGCAGAGATTTTAACATCAGGTCTCTTTGACATCACATTTATTCTGCCCTAAACAGCTTTTGTTTTCATAGAAACAAATCTTACTAATTCTGGATTATTGGCACTGGAAGTAGAGGTGCAAAAAAAAAAAAAAAAAAAAAAAATTGCAGTGGGAATGAATACAAGTAAAATTCAAAATACTAATTGAAAATCAATTTTATTGTATTTTAAAAAGTCTATGCTCAGAAATATGAAGTATAGATAAATTCGTCTTTAATAATTAAACAGAAATCCTTATTTAACACATTAATTCATTAGTATACAAATGGGTCCTGCAAAATGAACAAAATAGTCCTAAATATTCTAAGAATACTTAGAGAATCATGGAATTTTTGAGACATCTTCTGTGAAAAACTCTAAGAATAAACAAAACACTTTTTTATAGTTTAATCCAGTAATTTGAGGGATGGGGATAAACTAAATGATTCAAGTTTTATCTTTCGCCTAACCTCTAAAATTTCTCCAATGCCACACTTTTTTTAAAAAATTAAATTTATTGAGTGACATGGTTAATAAATTATGTAGGTTTTAAGTGTACAATTCTATAATACATCATCTGTATATCACATTGTGTTTACCACCCAAACTCAAATCTCCTTCTGTTAAGAAATGTAAATCAAAACCACAATGAGGTATCACCTCATACTTGTTAGAATAACTCTTATCAACAGGACAAGTAATAAAAAGTGTTGGAGAGGATGCAGAGAAAAAGGAACCCTCACACGCTGCCAGTGGGAATGTACATTGGTATAACCTCTATGGAAAACAGTATGGAGGTGTCTCTAAAATTTAAGAATAGAATTACCATATGACCCAGCAATTCCTCTTCTGGGTATTTACCTGAAAAATTTGAAAACATTTATTCATAAAGATATATGTACCCCTATATTCCTTGCAGCACTATTTACTGTGGCCACGACATGGAAAAAACTGGTGTCCTTCGATAGATGATTAGAAAAATATGTGCTACTTATACACAATGGAAACTACTCGGCCATAAGAAAAGATGAAATACTGCCGTTGCGACAACATGGGTGGATCTCGAGAATACCATGCTCAATGAAATAAGTCAGACACAACTTCTTTTTAAGTAGAAGCTTGAATCAGTTCACATAATATTATAATATGTCTATCAAATCATGCAAAGGATTAAAAAAAAATCACTATTTTCTAAGTGTATCAGACCTTTTCTAGGCTAACAACTATTTCTTCAAGGTCTCTCTTTTCTTCCTAATTGTTCAAGATTTTAGCTTATTTTTTCCTCCTGTATGAATTTTAAGTGGGACCTCAACAAACTTAAGAATTCTAGTTAGCTATTTCTCAGTTGACTTTCTTACCTATCTTTATTTATCAGTGAGTCTGCTTTTTCTTCTGCACATTTGTAGAAGTTCATTTGATTATCCAGCCTATTTTCTAATAGGGTTTCGTTATGGTTTTTGCTTCCCTAATTTAGTTTTAAAATGCTTCATGTTTTTTAAAAATTACCTTAAAACATGTTGTTTTTCTCCTGTTGATTTGGTAGTGAGCACAGACAAAGCACAACTGGCTAAACTCTGAGTTCCAATCCTAGGTTAGCTAAGGAGTTGGGAATGCTTTGGGAAAGTCTGTTAACCTTTGTTCCTATCTACTGAAGTGTAAGCCAATTTAATATGACCTATCTCAAAACCATGTCCTGTGGGAATTACCAGCTTAATTAAAGAACTGCACATTCCAATGACATACAATAGTGTGCTTTTCTTATTATTTCTTAGTTATTTCAAATATTTCCTTTAGACTTCTTTATTTAGCTAAATCCAGCAATCAATAGCAAATCAATTCAACAACATTTTGGAATAGATAAACTCTAGATGGCATTTGTATACATATTTACATTATACATATTTCCTAAAACAGCGGTCCCCAACCTTTTTGGCACCAGAGACTGGTGCTCTTATGAGAATCTAATGCCTGATGATCTGAGGTGAAGCTGAGGCGGTGATGCTACCGCTGAGGAGTGGCTACAGATACAGATGAAGCTTCACTTTCTGGCCTGCTGCTCATTTTCCTGCTGTGTCTGGGAGTTAGGGGACCCCTGTCCTCAATATAAGTGCTAGCTGACAATAGCTATCAAAGTAGATAATAGTAACTAACATTTATTGAGCACTTACAATATGAAAGACAGTTTGCTAGGCTCTTTGTATTAGGATATAACATTATTCCATTTTACAAATGAGAAAAACGAGGTACAAAGAGTTCCAGTGACTTTCTCACAGCTTGTAAATGAGAGTAGGGACTGGAACCCAAGCATTTTGAGAGCATTTTTGAGTCCAGAGCCTACATTCTTATTCATTATCATAATTTATTAAAAATCACTTATTCTGTGGCTGGTGTGACACTGTGTTAAGAAAATATAACAACTCGCCATCCTGAAAGCTTCTAAACTTGAAGTAAAAATTAAAATCTTATAAAACCACCTATCAATTTAAAGCCTTTTCAGTGACTAATTATTAAACATTTCTTCAGTATTATACACGTATACAACCATTGACCCACCAAATATACCTGGAAGGCCTTTGAAATGAACATCTACGTTTCAAAAACTGAGATAATCCTGCTCAAGGTGATACAGAAAGATTGAAACATTCATTTGGCCTCTGCTCAAATATTGCTGCCACAGGATGTATACTACCTTAAAAGGCAGTTAATTCCATTTCCAAGCAACTATATGCATTCAAAAATGTTTTAATTGCTGAATTAGCATGAATTAAATTAACTGAAACTGGGCATGCATTCTGATTCCTGTTTAGTCACAAGCTTTTTGGTTTATTCACTTAGTAGAGTTAATTCCACCTCACCTAAATGTTTATACAATAAAATAATCTAGTGAAGACACTGACAGAAAATTTGCTTTTCCTTATTTCATACATTACCTATTTGTCATCCATTACCTATATGCAGTAGAATGTATATGCTAATATGTGGACTCAAGCCAGATTTCATTAGTTTGAACACATACTAGCTGTGTGAACTTGGGCATACTATTTAACAACTTTTTGCCTCAGTTTCTTCATCTCTAAAAAGTGGAAAATAATGGAAGTAACTCTTAGGGTAACTTTTATAATGTATAAATAAATTTAATAAAAATGAATGACTTACAACAGTGCCTGGACTGTAATAAATACTATGTAAATACTGTATAAATACAGTATAAGCAATTTATATCTATCTATCTTCTATCATCTATCTATCATCTATCATCTATTATTCTACATGTCCATCCATCCATCCATCCAACCAACCCACTCATTCAATTAGAATGTCTAATTTGCCATTCTCCAGCTTCGATCAGAGAAAGAATTTAAAATAACTATACTTCAGAGGAGAGAAAAAAAGTGATGTAGTTTCTAAATTCTTTGAATTGCTTTATAAAAACTTTCCAAGAAATTAGGGTAGCAAAACCACAGACCTCGGACAATATATACAACAAAATCGGGTACAAAGCTTTTCCCCGTCTCCTTCTCTTACCTCTCCCTTCCTTCCTGATCAATGTGGCTCTAAGGTCTTTGAGTCAGGCAGAGCAAGACAGGTGACCAGAAGGATCTGAGGAGGAGCCATGGGGGCCCAGTGTGAGATATCAGAGCCCGAGCACAGTGAGAAGGATGTCCGTGTGGAGGGTGGCTTGGTATAGTATATCAGAGCCCAAGTGAGAAAATTCCACTGGTGGTGGGGGCTGGCAAAGGGCATCAGAGCCCAAGTAGGGTGAGGAATGTGTTCCGTCAGTGGGGCATGAAAGGTACACTTCTTGAATTCTCTCTTCCATTAAAAGAATACACGAAGTCTACTGTTGACTTTCTATGTAGCAACACTGTCTAGTCTCGACCAGATGCTACTGATTTGACACCAAGCTGTGAAAACTTTTCCAGGGGCTGCTTCTTTTTTGTGGTGCTCAAAAATCATGACAGAGTTAAACTAGGTTGAGAAATACATGAAAGAAAACCTTTAAAGATATGCATCCTAGAGTTAGAGTAAAAGGAAGTTTTGTTCAGCATGGTTCTATTTCTAGGAGAAAACAAAACTTTCTCAAGAATATGTGTATGATAAAGAAGAATATACTAGATATACAGATATACATTAACTTTTAAAAACAGCATTTAGTTGAATTTACTGTATTTTAAGAATGTACCTAGGTTCAATTTTTTTAACCACCCACCTGCTCTTAAATCTTTATTCGAAAAAGTAAAATAAAATGGTAACCTCTGGTAAAACAAACAAATGATAATAATCTCTCCTTCTACAAATTTTCATTCTGACATAGAGATTCTCAGTCTTTTCATGTTTGTGTACAACTGGATCTGTTCTGCTGTTATATGGGCCACTTCTGTTTTTTGACATAATAGTAAAGAGCTGATAGAAGATTTCTCTAATTCTCTATTGTGTAATTCAAGCATTCCTCTATAAGGAGAGGAACTTCATAAATTTAAACTATATCCATCATCATATTAAGTCATTTGCTGAACTTAAAACCAGTGGCATGCTAGAACAGCTGGAGTAATAGCTCGGATTTCTTTATCACCACCCCTAAAGAAATGTACACTGTAAGTGGTATATTAACTTTGGTTTGAATACTTTTTGTTTTTGTTGGTTTATTTTTATGTGCGCTCTTTGATTGTAAGAAATTTGTTTTATTCTGCTGTGAAGCATGTGTTCTTAAAAAGAAAACCAAATATTGACTCTATAAAGCTTTATTGCATGCCTACCATATGAGCTGGATGGAATCATGCTGACTGATGCTGCCCCCAGGATGATGTGAAGGCTTAGGGACAATTTCTTCATGTGATATGCCCTGCGCTGGTCCATATTTTAAGGTTACAGGGATTTGTTTTTAACTGACACCATCTGTAGATTGACCTTCTCAATATGCATATTGCTTTCCTGTGGAGAGATTCTACAGACTTTTGACTGAATAAAAGACATATCGTTTTTGTTATAAAAGAATTTTTCCTCCTTCCTTCATTTTTCCTTCTTTCCTTCCTTCCTTCCTTCCTTCCTTCCTTCCTTCCTTCCTTCCTTCCTTCCTTCCTTCCTTCCCTCCCTCCCTCCCTCCCTCCCTCCTTCCTCTTTTATTTGTTGCTATTAGTACTTAGAAAATGATATTTAATTAAACTGCAATTAAAAAAATAAATGTGTAATATGAAAAACTCTTTAAGTTGGTTAGTATATTAATACTACAAAAGTTTTTGACTTTTCAAAAGTAAAATTCGCTTATTTAGAAATTAATGCTCCTTACTGAAGAAAATATGTGTTTTAAGTATTTTACTCTACAGAGAGACAGAGAAGAAAGCAGCATGATAAAGTCATTCATCATAGTCACCTTAAAATTGGCAAAACTCATGCCAATCTTCTGTGGAAGATTTCATGGTCAATTAGGTAAATACACGTATAAAATGGACCCAGCACCAAAGATCACAAAGCCAATTACTGATTATGCTTAATTTCACCCCCCTTAGTCCCAGAAGTAATTTTTCCCCTCATAGTTTTAAGACATCCAAATAAAATGTACAATCAACATTTTCGAACACTATTGTAAGCTTTATAATATTTTATAGAGTTGTTATTTCATAAGAATTGTTAGTTTTAGTTTCTACACTTCTAAGAGGTTTTCAAGAAACTAACTAAATCTGTCTAGAGTATTTTTCATGACAGAATGATGGACATAAGTGTATCATTTTAAGTATGTATTTTTCTATTTGAAATACAAATTTGAGGCACATGGTTAGTTGTTTGCATTTGTGCAAGATTCCATTTATATTATAGAAAAGCTGCTGACTAGTGTTTCATTCAAGAGCATTCTGTCCTACCATTTTATGCATATCTGTATTCAAACTCAAATAGTATTAAATGAACCTTTTATATTTTAAATATTCAAGAGTTTTATATTCAAAATTTCTTCTCTCACTGTCAAACTAGTTTGCCTAAAGGCAAGGTAAGATCAAGTTAGAGTCTCAAAGGTAGAATTAAATTTTATCATGACATCCATCATAATTTACAGTTTGCTTAATATGCAAATAAAGAGTATATGGATTCAAAGAATAAAGAATTTTTAGGTAGTGTGTGAAATCTAAGGGACCACTTTTATAGAATAGATTTCTTTCAAATTTACATTTCCATCATTTTAACAAAAACACAGGGTAAACAAATTATAATAGAAATGTTTTAAGTTACCATTTTCCATTCAATTTCATTTCTACTGGGTTATTTTTCACGGCAGCTCTTTATTTAAAACTAATAAAAATAGATGGGATGAAATAAAATAAATATATACTAAAGAAATCATTACCTCAGCCATTTGGGAGAGCTCCATCCAGTCATTTCTATTGTAACTGCACATGATGCTAGCAATCACAATCTTTAAAAAGAAAAAAAAAAAGAATATCAGTTCAAACAAGGGAATATTAATATTTACATGTATATGTTTATAATGATAGACTATATTATAAAAATAGTTTTCAATCTGTTAAAAGACAAATAATTAAAAAACAGCAGGGTATTATAGTAAAACAAAAGATGAGATTTGGGGCTTCAGAATTATGTTAGAGACTCTCTCATTTACTACCCTTAGTAAATGAATAGTCGAGCAAGTTACTTAACTTCGCTGATCTTTTAAAAATGAAGATAATAATATCAACTTTGCCAACCTCAGAAAGCAACAGGGGAGTTATGTAAATTTGTGTATGTGAAAGAGTTGCTTAAATTGTGCGATGACATAGAAATGTTTATTAATATAATTACTGATGTAGCTAAAAGAAATAAAAGAAATAAATTAGTGTCTTCTTCAATCATATTATAATATGGATAATACCTCACATATTTATAGTACGTTATAGTTTTAAATTCTGTTAAATGTTGATTATTTAATTCTGGTCTTCTAGTAATCCTGTAAAAAAGGTTTTGCAGAGTAGTAGTTTCAAGTACCTGCTCTGAGGCCAGATGTCCAGATTAGAACTCTGACTACCACTTACTGCATTGCCCTGGGTAAGACATGTAATTTGCTCATTGGTAACATGTAGATAATAGCACTGCCTACTTAGAAAAGTAATAATAGAAATTGCTAAGACTTATATATCTCTTATGATGTGCTAGGTACTATATTAATGGTTTTTACTTTATTAACTTAATTATTCTCAACACTATCCTCCCCATGTTACAGATAGAGATGTTGAGGCACTGACGTATAAAGGTCACCCTCCTAATGAGCAGAGCCAGGACTCAGGCCCAGGCAGTCTGCGCTGTTAACCTCCAGGTTTTCTGGCCCAAAGTTAAGTGTTCAAAACATGTCAGTAATTATTTTTTTATTATTACCATTTAAAGATTATGAGATTGAAATACAAAGAGTTTGTGCCAAGCCTAAAGTCACAGTCCCCGTGGAAGAGTCCACTAAAAGCCACTGTGCTCTCACCACTTGCAGCTTTTTAATGGATATCTAGAAAAAATAAAAAAAGAAATGTTGTAAAAGTCTGATGAATGCTTTTAACATTAAGGGAAAGACAGAAAACAAGTGACCAAACTGGAGAGAGTTTTTAAAACCAGGGAGACAAGCCTGCCCTTAATGTTGCGTTAATTTTTCTCTCCTGATGGACTAGAATCTCCAGGGGAACTGGGACTGACTGCTCTGCATCATTCATTGCTTTATCTGTAACAGCAGCCACGGTGTTTGGCACTTAGTGAGGCCGAGTGAATAAATGAATGAGGTCACCAACGGTTTAGTAGCCTGGAGTTGCTTTATCAGCGTATCCCTTTACAGTTAAGCAGAAACGAATATCCTAAGTTAGAGAAGGGGAAAAAATTGGTAAAACCATTAGCGAATTATTATACGAGCTAAAGAGTGAGCAAGGCTGATGTTGGTGTTGATTCAGGTGATGGAAAGAAGTGTCAAATGTTAAAATACAAAGAACTTGTGAACTAGAAGAAGTAGTTAAGAAAGAAGAATCAAGAGATCTAATCTGAGTGACTGAGGAAATCTCAGAATATTAGTCAGGTAAAGGTAGGACAATGATAAGAGAAACAAGGAAGCCAGGAGAAACAGCAGATTCGGGTAGATTCCTCTTTACAGAGAGGAACGAAGAGAAGAAAATAAAAACACGATGACTAGAGAAGGAAAATTTAAAATGCCTAATAATTTTTGGTTGAGTTCAGTATTCAATCTTTGTGTGCAGTGAGGATGCAGCTTTTAAGAATTTGGGAGGAAATGGTAAGAATGATCCATAGCCGTTGTCTCTAGGGCCTAAAAAAAGTAAAAAAATCAAATTCCAAGCTTGCCCATTTGCAAGCAAAAAGGGGTCACCAGCATAATTGTGTATCTTTGGTAGGAGACTCTGTCTTTCTGCCCTTTCCCCTTGCTCTAAGACCTCAGGGATATTCTGCCCCACGCCCCAGTTAGAAAACAGGTCATGGGGGGAGCGGGGGGAGGGGGGACTCAGATCTCCTAGAACTACACTCATACCTCCTGGAGAGTATGCTTTACATAAAAAATAAAATTTAAAAAGATCTTATTTGAAAGGAAAATCGACTGAGACAAAGGCTGGGGTCAGGTGACAGATTCTTATTGTCCTTAGTGGCCTTGAGGATCAAGTAAAGAAACAAAAACAAATTTTAAAAAATGATTAATCTAAAGATGTAAGGAATAAGCAGAAACTCTAGGGTTGTTGCTAAAACTTCAAGGGCAGGGTTAGGTCTAAAGATCCAGACTGAAAAAAAAAAAGATTTTGGCATTAGAGACAAGTTCCGTGGTGAAAGTGATGGACATTAGGAAGTTTAATTACTTAAATCAAGACAAGACAAAAACAACAAAAACAAAACTTGCCTCCAATTATGAAAAGGTAATCTCCAAGTTCACCTTTGCATACAAAAATTAAATGGCCAATGAATAAACACAGTGACCTCCTCTCCAATGTCACTCTCAGGGTACCACGGAGGATAACAGGAAAGGTGCTACTAGTAGGCAGGTCCTGCTAGTAGCCACTCAACAGATGGGTTGAACAGAGAGTTGGGGGATCAGGGGGATCAGGCTGCCCAGCCCTGACAACAGGAGATGATATGTGCTCTAAACGAGTGACTAACATGGTTCCTCTTTTCTAGATGACAATTTTAATTTTGATAAAGCTGTTTTTTGCTTCAAATATATATTGATTGTGCCAAGGTTGGTTGAAATCATCATTTGCCCTCTAGGTCTAGAGGATCATGAAGAGCTCTTAAATTGGGCTTGATGGAGAGAAATAAATATCACTCAGAGAATTATCTGAACATCACGAGTGTTGGCGTCATGAAATGTCTGGGATGTACTGACTGGGTATGACTATGGGAAGCTGTCACTGGAGAGGAGTGACCACAGGTGTAGAGACACATTTATATTAAGCCGAGGGAGGGTTTTTTGTGTATGTTCTCAGCAGCCAAACACTACACCATTCTTTCTTCATTTTCTTTTTTTAAAATAATTTTTTTTACAATTCGATTACAGTTGACATATAATATTAGTTTCGAGTACACAATATGGTGATTAGACATTTATATAATACATAAAGCAATCACCCTGATAGTGCTAGTACTCATCCGATACCATTCGTAGTTATTACAGTATTATTGACTATATTCTTTACATCCCTATAACATGTTGTAGCATTTTATTTTATTTTATTATTAGCTTCAAGTATACAGTACATTGGTTAGATATTTACTTAGTTTATGAAACGATCCCCCTGGCTCTCCACCTAACCATTACATTACTGTTGACTGCATTCCCTATGCCGTGCTCCCAATCCCTGTTACCATCTATCAGCTACTAATTTGTACTTTAACCCTTCACTGCTTTCTCCCAGGCCCCCACGCTCCTTCCCTCTGGCCTTCACCAGATTGTCCTCTATATTTGTGAGTCTATTCTTGATTAGTTTGTTCTTTTTGTTCCTTAGATTTCTCATATAAGTGAAATCATATGGAATTTATCTTTGTCTGACTTATGTGCTCAGCCTAATAACCTTTGATATCCATGTCATTGCGAATAGTAGGATTTCATTTTTTTATGGCTGAATAATGTTCCATTGCATATATGAACCATAACTTTTTTATACAATCATCTGTTGATGGGCATTTAGATTGCTTCCATAGCTTGGTTATTGTGAATAGAGCTGCTAGAACATAAGGATGCATAGATCTTTATGAATTATTGGTTTGATTTTCTTTGGATAAATATCCAGAAGTGCAATTGCTGGATCAAAAGGTATATCTATTTTCAATTTTTTGAGGAACCTCCAGACTGTTTTCCACAGTGGCTCTACCAATTTGCAATCCCACCAATAGTGTATGAGGGTTCTCTTTTCTCCACATCCTTGCCAACAATTGTTGTTCTTTGTTTTATTGATGATACCCATTCTGACAGGTGTGAGGTGATATCTCATTGTGGTTTTAATTTGCATTTCTCTGATGGTTACTGACCTTGAGAATCTTTTCATATGCCTATTGGCCATCTGTATTTCCTCTTTGGATAAATATCTATTCAAGTCTTCTGCCCATTTTTAAAATTGGATTGTTTGTCTTTCTGTTGTTGAGTTGTATGAGTTCTTTATATATTTTAGATATTAACCCCTTATCAGATGTATCATAAGTGAATATCTTCTACCATTCAGTAGGTTGTCTTTTCGTTTTGTTGATGGCTTCCTTTGCTATGCAAAAACTTTTCAGTTTGATGTAGTCCCATTTGTAATTTTTTCTTTTGTTTCCCTTGCCCAAGGAGATATATCGAAAAAGAAATTACTAGTAGCAATATCAGAGAGATTTCTTCTAGAAGTTTTATGGTTTTGGGTCTTACATGCAAGTCTTTAATTCATTTTGAGTCTATTCTTGTATATGGTGTAAGAAGGTGGTTCAGTTTCATTTTTTTACATGTATATGTCCAATTTTACCAACACCATTTATTGAAGAGACTGTCTTTACTCCATTGTATATTCTTGCTTTTGTCATATATTGAATGAGCATATATACGTGGATTTATTTCTGGGCTCTTTATTCTGTTCCATTAATCAGTGTATCTGTTTTTAGGCCAGTACCATGCTATTTGAATTACTGTAGTCTTGTAGTACAGTTTTATATCAGGTAGTGTGATACCTCCAACTTTGTTCTTCTTTCTCAAGATTGTCATAGCTACTCAGGATCTTTTATGGTTCCATATAAATTTTGGGATTATTTGTTCTAGCTCTCTGAAAAATGCCATCTGTATTTTGATAGGGATTGCACTGAATCGATAGATTGCTTTGGGTAGTATGGCCATTTTAATGATGTTGATGCTTCCTACCCATGAGCACAGAATATGCTTCCATTTATTTGTATCTTCAATTTCTTTTTTCAATGACTTATAAT